AGCGGAAAAAAGCCGCCAGCCATGTTCATGCAAATGCCGCGGGGAAAATTTAAATCCCCGCGGCATCTGCAATTCCGAAGTGTCTCATTAGCATCCCTTTTCCGGAAAAGGGTGCCAATGTAGACACAGCCTGCCTGTCACAGAGTGCAGGACATGTCATTACATAACCTAGGTGTGTCCCAGAAATAATTCAGTAGTTTGTGGAATCATAAGTGATGGCACAACAAAACTTATAGGGGATGTTGTGAAGCTTATGAGACCTACTGTGGATTTACTGTCTTTTCCTTAAATCTTTTTAAACTCTGTTAAATGTGGTTTCCTTTCCTCTCTCAAAAAACTTCAGTGTTAGGCTATGTCTACACTACAGAGTTTTTTCGGAAAAATGGTAGTTTTTCTGAAAAAACTTTACTTATGTCCACCCTGCAATCACGTTCTTTTGAAAAAAAAAAATCAAAAGAACAGAGGGGTTTTTCTGACATTGGTAAACCTCTTTCTATGAGGAAGAAGCCTTTTTCCAAAAGAGCTCTTTTGGGAAAATGCGTGTGTGGACAGGGAAGAGGGAGTTCTTTCTGAAGACGAGGAAAAAGCACAGGTGCCTTGGTGGCCACTCCATCTATAGTAATCACAGCTTAAATGCGAGATAGCATTCACACTGAATGGATGCTATCTTTTGAAAAAGCAGATCACTTTTTTGATGCGCTTTTATGTGTGGACGCACTCTTTCATAAGAAGTTTTTTCGGAAGATCTTTTCCAGAAAAGCTTCTTCCAAAAGAATCCTGCAGTTTAGACATAGCCTTACTGAAAACAGAATAAATAAATGGTAGCATGCTAGCATTCACAACCAGCCCCATACAAATCTGTGTGCTCAAGCAAGGAATTCAGTCAAGGAGCAGATGTTAGTGTGGTACTTTCAAGGGGTAACTACAAATAACAGTAAATAAAAAGCAAAATGGCTCAATTTTAAATTATTCAAAATTTAGGCAAGTATAAATATTAGGCAAAATTTAGGCTGTCAATGCCTAAAATAAAAGGCAGCTGGAATGAGGATAGCTTGGGTGTGGGATATATAAGCTTTCAACTGTGGATCCCCTATATCAAATATGGTCCAGGCATGTTATGACTGAGGGTTTCTACACTACAGTTTTGTTCTTCCTTCGACTTCCTGCTGTGTAGACAGCACCTAAAGCCCAGTTAAGCTACTTCGACTTAAGCTACGCAATTGATGTAGCTGAAGTTGCATAGCTGAATTCGACTGTAGCCCTGTTGTGTAGACACACCCCCAGAGACTAAAAATTGTTCTGTGAGGCACTGATGTATACTGACCTTGTGGACTGTGAATAGTAACTACTAAAAACACCATTAAATTCCAGATGTAGCTTCAAGCCAGTGCTTCTGTCTCTTATTCTGTGTGGTGAGATTTCCAAATATATTTTAATGTCTAGAGGTGGAAGAGGGGAAGGCTGTATTAGCCTGGGACTCAGGAGATATGGGGGGGAGGGTCTACTCCCAGCTCTGCCACTGACTTTATGCATGACCTTGGGTAAGTCACTTCGTCCCTTTGTGCCTCTGTTCCCAGTCTGTAAAATGGGATTAATAAGTCATCACTGCTTCTCATGGGTGTTGTGAAGATCAGCTCAATATTTGTTAGGTGCCCAGTTTCTACAGTGACAAGAACCACAGAATATCTATAAATAAAATAACTCATGGCAGAAGCAATGCGTATGGGACTCTTACACTGGTGCTGTACCAGACCTGCCTGCAGGGCTGGAGTGGTGTGAAATCGTTCAGGTGTGGGATATTTTTTCAATTGCAGAGCCGCCAGCTGCCTTGTAGAGCAGGTTCAAGCAAATGTTTCCACGGTACTATGAAGCTCAGTCATGGTTTTATTCGGGGGGGAAGGAAGGGGACAACTGCTGTGAGTCCCACCAATACAAAAGTGCTGCTGCCTCCACCACTGTGGCAGAAGTGGAGGCCAGAGCCCTGGGCCCTTTAAATCGCTGCAGGAGTGTCACATGGCGTGTGCCGAGTGGCTCTGAGGGCTGCCTAGGAGAGGCGCAATGCTCTCTGGGTGGCACTGAGGGCTGCCAAGCCCCAGCACCGCCTCAGGCCCCACTCCTTCTGGGAGTGCAGAGCAGGGTCCTCCCTTGCCTTGCCCCAGGGCCCAGTGAGGCTGTCAGCCCCGCAGATTTTATGAGTTATGGCAAACGCGGTATTTGAAACTCCATACTTACTTGGTCCAAATCCAATTGAGAACGCGCTCACAAAGGCCATCATGCTCAGCAGCGTAATCCAATTTAACACCATATGTTTCCCATCGGGAGTGCCACTGAAAGGAGAGCTTGTGCTCTGCTCTGTCTCTTCATCGGACTGACTTGGCAGGTTCATTTTCTGAGTGTGGGAAGACTCTGTAATGCTCACTCTGTTTCTAGCGCTGGCAAGGGCAGCAAGGCCCTCTGGTCTTGCAAGAGCAAAACCGGGACTCACTTGACTTTCGCCAGCAGCTGAAGTCTGTGGGATGGACCATGCAGCAGGCCGGGAGGATGCTGACTGCACGGGATGCTGTGTTACGGTGTATGAGGCATTGGACTCCGTGGCAGCCATACAGTCTCTCGCCTTATCCAGTGGAACAGTCCAGCTGGTGAGGCCAATAGCCGTGACGGAGACAGACATCACCACACACCCAGCAATCAGTAACACCCTTCTGCCGGCCTTATCTGCGAAAACCATTGCCACTAACGTTGCAATCACCTTCATCGCCCCAAGCCCCACAGAAGCCAGGACGGCAGAGGAGTGGCAGCCATACAGTCTCTCGCCTTATCCAGTGGAACAGTCCAGCTGGTGAGGCCAATAGCCGTGACGGAGACAGACATCACCACACACCCAGCAATCAGTAACACCCTTCTGCCGGCCTTATCTGCGAAAACCATTGCCACTAACGTTGCAATCACCTTCATCGCCCCAAGCCCCACAGAAGCCAGGACGGCAGAGGAATCTTAGGTTGCCCTGTGAACTGCTGAAAGAGCACCAAGCCCAGGCCAACGAGAGTCCTGCTTCTCATGTTGTCTCTAGACCTGAAAAGGTCAAGAAACGAATAATGCTTCTCCTGCCGTGGCTCTGGCTTTGCTTCCTCTCCATCTTCATTGCTCTGCTGTTGAATGAGGCCCTTGTGAGAGTCATAGTCCCATTTGTTTAATATAACAGGTTTCGTTGGGAGGAGCAGGATACTGAGAAACTGTAGGACAGTCGGTGCAAGAGCCAATCCAAACATGTATCTCCACCCCTCGGTCATGTCTGAGAAGATGTAGTTCAGTGCATATGACAGTAAGATGCCCACGGTGATGCCAGCTTCATAGAGAGACACCAGCAGCCCTCGCTGATGAGCAGCCACCATTTCGGAGACATAGATGCAGCAAGCCATGGACGATACAGAGATTGCAAGCCCTACAATCATCCGTCCTAATACCAGCCAAATAAGTGACCTGGCCAATGTTAGAACAAGGCTGCCACACAACAAAATTAGGTTGCTGACTAGTATTGCCCTCCTCCTTCCGTGACGGTCAATGAGGATCCCACCAACCAGAGAGGCAAGGAGAGCCCCAATGAGCAGAGAACTCACAAGGATTTCCTGTTCAAAGCAGCTGAGGTGGAACTCCATCTGCAATTGCAGTAGGGCACCAGAGATAATCCCCAGTTCGTATCCAAACATCAACCCACCCAGGAGAGAGACCGTTGCAGGCAATAAGAGGACCAGCAATGCACGACCTGGAAAGCAAGTAAGCAACAGTCGGATTTCAAGGATTCATTCTGCAGCCTGGCTTTATCTAGTTACAAAAAATGGAAAGAGCTGTTCTGATGAAAGGAGGTCCAGGATGTGCACCTAAGTTACTCAAACAAGTACAACTGTTGGATGTACAACTGTTAATTATGTTTATAAATAACCAAGCATCTCTCTAGGTACGTGTTTATGGAATTACAATGAGTGTGCATTTTGTCATCACAACTGGGCAGGCAGTTTAGTTGTGGAAAAGGGGTGCACATATTTGTGCTCACAGTCCTGAAAACGTGGGCCTGTGTAAACACAGTTCAGACTTAGATGTAACTGGAAGTCAGCAATTTATAAGAAGCCAGAGTCATTCCCCTTAGACTGTCCAAACTATTCTGTTTGTTCAACAACTTCCCAGCCAGGAGACATAGCTTTCTCCTTTCTGTATTTTTCTGTGGTTTGTGTTACCATTATGATACTCTAGTCCTCAGTTTGCTGCAACTTAGAAGCATCTTTGTGGCTTCTTTTCACCACCTAGGAATTTCACAAATAAATCATCAGAGGAGAAAGTCACTGTTTCTATGTGCTGAATACTGATACCCCTGCCTGTTAACTTTCACACCAGAGCCAGAAATGACCACTTCTTGAGCCATCCTGTGACCCCTTGGGCATCATTGCTGCTCTGTACCGCATCCTCTCTAACTTCTTGCCTAATCCTTCCTTAATTTTCTGCAATGGTCAGACCTCCCTGGGAAAAATGTATTCCCTCCCCCTAAAGTCCAGCAATAACTCTGACTTCCTCAGAAGATCTTTGTTCCTTGTCCTACCACCATCTTTTTAATACAAGAGACAGCTGATATTTTAGACCCAATCTTCCCCATTCCAGGATCTGACATTACTGTATTTGACTTTTTAGTGTGGTAAATTATTTCCATTACAAATTCTAGATCAGGATACTGAGGCTCTAGACAGTGTTACGCTAACACAACTGATTGCCTTTTTTTTTACAGCTTTCCGCACCATTATTTCACTTGTTTTCCCTTGTATCTCTCTTTAATATAAGTTCTTCCAACTGGGCTTATATTCGTTTCATTTGTGTGGGTAAATGTACAGGAGCAAGTGAAACCAATAAAAGACAATATCAGAGAGTTCTTACACAACAGTTGCACCTGTTTAATCAGATTTAAATTCAGCTGGTGCAACTTCTATGTCTAGACAAGCCTTGAATTTAATATCAGAATAGATCAGATACACAAAGAATACTATATGGTTTGGACTAGACTGGTGGAGGGCAGTTTGGAGTAGAGTATTTAGCCATACCTTATAATCCCAAGGTCCATGTCACAGAAATCTCAGGTCTCAGCCTCATTGTTTAAGTCTAATATGCCAGGCAGGCCTTGTATATAGCTTATTAGAGTAAAATTAGGACAGGAGTATTCTCCAGTGGTAGCAGAAATTAGAATCCTTTCATTCCACTTCTGATTGTATCTCTGATGTGACACATGACCTTTTCTGTGCCTCAGTTTTTTCATTTTTGTACATTAGGGATAATAATATAGAGCTACCTGCCTGGATGATGTGTTTGTGGGACTTAATTAGTATTTAGAGTCACTGGAAAAGGAAAAAAAATATTGTGGGAGAACCCAACAAGTGGAAAATTACTGATGATGAACTGGGAAGTGGTGTTAAAAGGTATTGGCTTATGATAGAGAATTACTTCTGCTGGCCATCTTGGGCTCTGCATATTTCTTTGTGCCATTTTTCTGTGTGAGGGACTGTCACTTTATCTGTGTTTGTGCAGCACCCACCACAATGAGGCCTCCAACTTGAATGGTGTATTTGAGCAACACCAATCATAATAAAACAGATAATATGCATTGCTCCAAGTGACCTATTTTTCCTGAATGTTGAGATACAGTCTAGTGCAGAAGCTTGTTCTGTAATATGCAGTTTCCCGGGATGTGACATTGATGCCATGTTACTGGTTTTGCTAAAATACATTTATTTTAAATAGACTATTGAAAAAAAATATGGAAACACCCACTGGGATATAGAAAAGTTTCCTCAAATAGAACTCTATGAGATGTTTTACAGTCTGTGCTTTACAGGAAGTATCTATATTCAGCTTCTAATTACAGTATGTAGAAAAGGTTATTTCTCAGTAGAGTCTATATTTATATTTGTATTTATTCTGTAGCATTTTGTGTTCCATTTGCATTAATTTTGTCACTCATGATACATGCTAAAAACCACCCACCATGCAGTTACCTACACTATTTTAATTACTTCTTGTACATGTGTAACAGATAATTAAAAACAATATTTGCTCAATAAGAACAGAAGACCTTACAGAAAATGGACTTCCTATTACCTTAGTGAGCACTAATGGTTTATGACCTTTGATTAAAATCCAGCTTTGCTCTCCAGTCAATTCCAATGCTGTCATGGGGGCTCAGTCCCTGCACTTGGCTTTCACATTTATGTTCTCTTGAATCTTAACTTAATGTCACAAGGGGGAAAAGTTTGCTGGGTCTCTTAGTCACCGACATCTCTCTTTCAAGTGTGCACTCATCAGTTCTACAACAGCAGTTGGCAGTACAGATCAGGATTCAGGTAAACTGACTTTAGCACTACTAAAGACGTTATTTGCATAAGACCAGTGCCAACACTCAATCAATGGAACTTCCTTCTAACAAAAAGTTTAAGACCTGCTCCTAAAACTCAGTTGTTCTGTTCCTGCACTCAGCCTAGGAACTGGGGTTTAGGGCAAAGTTGACTTGAAGCCATCTTTTGTGCTCCTTGTAGTCTAAGGGCAAGCAGTGGCTTCTGGCAAAAATCAGAGTATCTAAGCAACTTTAACTGATGCTCTTACTGGAAAGCCCCCCTATGGGTGTGCTAGGTGTGAGATGCCAGAGTGCCCCAGATACTGGCAATGGTTCATACACGGGGGGCTGGCGGAGTGCCATACTAGCATTAAGATACTGGGGCACAGCTGCCTTTCAGCCCCTAGGGGGTACAGAAACCCCAGAACAGCCATGAGCATGCCTGATGACAGAGTTCTGGCCTACAGATCCTTCAAGGAAGGGCTCTGAAACTTGGCCCAGAATCTAACACAACATATGTCTTCTATATTCAAAAGGGGCTAGTGATTTTGGATGCCTCAGTTTTTGGGTGTCCCTAGGTACAGCCTGATTTTCAAAAAGGGCCGAGCCCCCACCCTCAAGCCCTTTTAAAGTGTGTGGATTTGGCACCCAAAACTGGCAGAGCTCCAAATCACTGGCCTCTGTTGAAAATGGAGACCTGTGTGCCTAGTGAGGAAAGGTGTGTGTGTGCAAGGAGAGTGTATCCAGGTGAGCCAGTGGAGGATGAGTGACAGTGGTTCCCGGCTACTCCACGCCAGCGAGAGGAGAGGACTCCGGGGAGCAATGCTGCAGCTCAGGCAGTATTGGAAGAGCACAAGAATCGGTGCTGGAAACATCACCAAGTGGTGGCAGCCGCAGCAGAGTCCAGGCCCCTCCGCTGGGGAAGTGACCGGAGAAGCTGCTCCCACTGCCCCTATTGCTGATTAGTTGGCGGAATCCGGCCTCTGTGACTCAACCCAGCCTCCACGGCACCAAAACTCCGGGGGTGGGGGGAAATCACCCGCAGGTCCATCCTCCCGCCCCCACAGCGGTCGCTTCCCCTTGGATAAATCCTGCGAGGCAGCATCATTCCTTAAGCCACTTCCCTCCCCGGGGCGGGCGGTGAAACTGCCCCTATTGCTGATTAGTTGGCGGAATCCGGCCTCTGTGACTCAACCCAGCCTCCACGGCACCAAAACTCCGGGGGTGGGGGGAAATCACCCGCAGGTCCATCCTCCCGCCCCCACAGCGGTCGCTTCCCCTTGGATAAATCCTGCGAGGCAGCATCATTCCTTAAGCCACTTCCCTCCCCGGGGCGGGCGGTGAAACCCGTTCCGCCCCCAGCCAGCAGCAAGCCCCAGCGCAGCCCCGCCCTGCCCGCAGCCGCCGGGAGGCAGGGCACTTACCCATGGCGATGCCACAGGCCGGGAGTTCGGCTCAAGTTTGTTCCAGACAGCCCGGGACGATCCGGCAGGGAGCGTCCAGTCAGGTACCTCCGGG